TGGGGTTCTGTGTGAAATCAATCAAATTAGCATGCAAATTTCAATGGCTGCAAGGAAAAATGAAGACTAACTAGGTTAACTTCTTTAAATTGCACGCTTAAATTATCCTAAATTCAGCTTGGGGTCTTAAACATATGAAAAAGAATTCAATACCTTTTTTCCTGGATAAATCATTGCACACATACTGTATGTAAACAAATATGCAGCGAATTAATAATTAATTAATACCCATAATCATTCGACACGATTTGAATTTCACTCACTTAATTCGGCAACATTTTTCGATAATTGAATTTGAGGCCCACACAGTTGTAATTCAATATGTTGGGCGTGAATAAGTTTATTAAAGTAAAACCAAAGCATTTAATTACATATTGTTCTCGGCAATAATTCACACATTTAAATTTAATAAAGTTATATTGATTACATTGATATTAAAATAAAGGAAAATTACTTTTATTTTTTTAACAAAAGCGACATTAATTGTGTAATTTCTTTATTGCAAGTCATATTTAAATACCTTTTTCAATCCATTAAATTTAAGCAACTTTGTGTGACCAAAAAGAGAAGTCTGTAATCAGAGCCGTGAAATTCAAGTCTTTAAATATCTAGCCGAAAAAAAGGCGGCAGACGAAAACGAGCAAACAAACGTTAATACAAAAAAATTACAAAAATGTATGAATGAACCAAAACATTGTGTGGGAAAAAGAGGGAGGGATGGAGGGAGAGAGAGAGAGGGAGACAGAGAGTTGGCAGCACTTGGCGGTCATTGTTCCAATTTCTAACCATTTTTTATTTTTTTATTTCGTACGAGTGTGTGTTTGTATGTTGTGTGTAGATTTTATTTCTTCTTCTCCGTTTTCCAAGTGTTGTTGTTAATTTGTTGGCTGTGGCGCGCATTTTTCACACACTACTAAACAGGGGGAAAATGGAAAATCCCCCCTCATCCCATCCTGTCTTGTGACTCTGGTTTTGTGCATTAAAGCCTGCAGCTACCAAATACGCCACACAATTTAAGCATTTGTATTCGTGCCTGTGGCTCACATGTCAGGTTGACCGCCCAACAAAAACAGCAGGAAAAACAACGTGGCAACAACAACAAGAAAATGCAGATAGTGGAAAAACCGGAAAAACAAAAACTTGAGCATGCCAAAAGGACAACAAGTGGAGGAGGATCCAAGGAGGATTTAGCAAAGGGCAAACATATATTTAATCTTGACACAAAGCTGCCGGCAGGAAAATGCAGCTCAATTTTCAATAAATTTAAAGCGCCAAGGAAAATTGTAAATCATATAATAAACACGGTTTTAAATATTTTTTTATAATATTCGACATATTTAATTTAATTTTCTAATGTAATATTTTTATTATTAAATATAACCTTTTTAAATTTAATTTAAATACGTACTTCATATTTTTACAATTAGTGAAGAAATATGTTTTACTCTATAATGTTTTACTATTATTATTGGTACTCTAAATCCAAATTGTGTGTACGTAGAATGTGCGTGTGTTTGTAAATTGTGACAGCTGAAAATCGCTCTTTTCCCAACGAACAGAACTTTGAACTTAAAACCAAAATAACCGCTGACAGTTTTGAGTGATTTGGCTGTTCAACTAGTCGTATGCGTGATATGTGACAGCTCCAATTTGCAATGCTGTTCAATGCAGATATATATCATAATTAGGCGAGCGCAAACTGGGGTAACTTAATACAAAACAATGGTCACATTATACTTGGTTTAGTGCGGTTTTCTGATAAGCCGGTTCAACTGGGCGTATACGTAATTTTTTAAGTTTTTATTTTGCCCATCATTTTTGACAGATTTTTCTAATCTATAGCCTTGCGGTTTGTCGAAAATATTAAATCAAATACTGCTGCTCAAATCCAAACTAACTAACTTTATTAAAGCAGTTTTCAGTTTGGGGAAAAGCGAAAGGGATGGCAACCCTAGTTGGGGGTTGCCAACTCACAAAGGGAATATGTGTACTGGACAATATGCAATGTTAGTTGGCTGCTGCTACTCCATTTTTTATTTCTGTTCCCGTCCAGCGATTAAAAGCACCTCTTCATCCAAACAAACACCCATACACCCATGCACACACACACCCTCGCACATGCATGTTAAAATAGATAAAAGCAGATGGAGAGAGACGGGTAGTGTGTGCGGAAGAGAGAGGGGGCGACTGACAGCTGCCGTCGGCTTAAATGGCGCTTACAGCAAACGCAAAAATTCGCGCCAAACAAAAGCAAAAACCAAAACCGAGGGATAGAAACAACAAGCAAAGAAACATCAACGAAATCTAGAAAACATAAAGCGGAGGTAGACACACAGATACAGTCGAAATCCCATAAATCGAACTAACTTGGAAATAAATTTCTAAATATTACAAATCAGAAAAACATTGCCTCAAAAAATGATTGGTAAACCAAAATAGTTTATAAGTTTTATATCTAATATTTTTGTGAATTACCTACTCTAATTTCTAAAAGAATAGTTTTAATCAAATATAATTTGTATAATTTTTAAATACACCTTTTCATATTTGTAATAGAAATATAATATATATATTTGTTATTATATATTTTCTTGGTTTTATCTGCTGTAGCTTTGAAAAATGGAATTAACGTTCGCATAATTGAGCGCAAAAATTGTAACTAATAAAACAGCAAAACAAAAACGCAGCAAATTCAATTAAAGCCGCAGCGCGAAGAAGAAGCAGACCCAAAATCACTTCTCACACACACTCGCACACACACACACACCACCGAAAGCCAAGTACACACGCACAAAGTGAGTGTGAAAATTAAATTTGCCATGCTATTAGCATTTGTCTACGCAGCGAGTGGGAAAGAGACAGCAGGGGGCGAAGGGAAAGAGACGGGACGAAACCGTGACTGATGCGAAGAGAATGGTATATATATATATATATATATCCACCATATATGGATGGGGCTTTTTTCGGGTGGCTGGGTTGGGGAACTTTTTGATGGATAGTTGAAGAAGATTCTCTTGTCAGACACGTGTTCGACTGCTTGCTAAGCAGTGTTAATGTGACATCTCGTCAGGGGGGGCTCCTTTCTTCTTTTTTTGTACGTTCTACAACTCTGGTTCTTCGGTTTCCATCCGGTAAATTGCTAAATAATTCAGGGGCAACTCTTGCACTCTGTTTTTATCCGCTCGAGTGACTTTTGTGGCCCACTGTTTGTGCAGTCAAATGTTTTATGAACAATTGAACAGTTTAATTGACTTTAAATTGAGTTGCCTTCGAATGAAATTCAAAGTCATGTTCACTACAAAGTCGCTTTAATTGCTAGTTGCTTTGCCTAAATTTTCAGGCTGCACTTTTGATTTACAAACAATTTGGCTTGGATATTTGGAATCTAAATAAATAATTTACCATTTTGTTTACGTGTATCGAAAATATATATTACACATGTTAAAGAAGCTTGTACAAATGCGGTGACCCATTTTTGGCGCCCTTTTTCTTTTTCCCCTGCAAAATCATTCATCTCTGTCGACTCAAATCGAATTTATCAAAGTCGTGGCCAAATAATTTGACCAATATTGCATATCGATGTGCATATTGTATATATATATGTATATATTTCTCAAAGGAGTCAACGATCGGCGGTCATTGAACTCTCTATGCTTTTCACACTTGTGCCTTTGGGTCTTTCGATTTAAAGTGTCAATTTTTGGGGTGCTTTTGCTTTTTGATTTGATTTTCGTACGCTAATTCAATTAGATTTATGTGCACCATTTGACATGCTTCTCTCTCGCTCGCACGCCGGTCACTCCGTCTCTTTCTCCGCCTCTGTCTCCGTCTCTTTCTGCCCCCTTCTTCCATGCTTTTTGTTTGTACTCGTACTCGTATGTTTATTTATTCCTGGTCATGTCGCTAAATGGGTTTTCTTGTTTGTTCAAAATCAGATCATGGCCAATAAATCAACACTCAATTCGATTTCGAGCGTGGGTGCCGCCACACATACAGTGTGTAGTGTGTGCGGTTGTCAAGCAAATTGATTTGTCCATTTCTTCGAGGGGTTAAACAAATAGAAATTGAAAGAGAAACAGAAATAGATATGGAAATAGAAGTAGCAGCAGGTTATGCAAATCCAACAGGAAGGGGCGGCCCGGCTTTCCCGTTCGCCAACTTAATAACCGAATCGCCTTAAAAGAAAAGCCAAAGCCAAAACCAAAAACCAAAAACCAGCCCAAGGAGTCACAGTCAAAGTCAAGAAAAACTTGTTTTTCCACAACCGAACAGCGGAAATTGTTGGGTTATTATGGTTTTTTTTTCTCTCCTTTTTCCTTTTGCTCAGCTTTTAAAGCTAAACCAAGTCAAAGACTCATAATTGATACGCAGAAAGAAAGGGGGAAAATGCGAAACATAGTAGATGGATGTAGATGGAGAGGTGTGTCCACTGCGAACCAGTTGGAAAAGTGATAATGAATTCGGGGGAAACTGTGTCACGGAAAAATAAGCGGAGGAAAAATCAACAGGAAAACGGAGGAAAATATGAAAGATTTTAAGAAGTTAAATTCTTCAGAATATATATATTCAATTTAAATTAAGAAATAATAATATTAGATTAAATTATTTTATAAGTTATATTTAATTTACCTATTTGCCATAAAATCATGTATACGCCCTGTGTTTACTGACCTTTTGCCTATAATTAAAATCATAATATATTTTTTACTTCTTTCAACGATCTCTCTGCAGCCAATTGAACTTTGTTTTTGGGAAATATATTTAGCATTTGACACTTTGGCTTATTGAAATAAGTAATTGAATTTGGAACGATCGGATGTTCGATTTCGATCGATCAATCGATTGATCGCCTGCAGTCGACCTCACATAGCGGGCAGATAGAGTGATGCTGATTTAATTAGGCACTCGAATTGAGACTTTTGCTCATTTTCAGCACGTACTCGGCAAGCCAACGGCCAATGGCCAATGGAAAATGCAACTGGCTCGCATTGAGCCCGGTTATGACCGACCCACCGGCCACAGTGGTCAAGGTCCATTGGCCATCGGCGCGAATTGCTGAAACCGGTCCTAATTTACCGACTAGATTTACCGACCGACTCGGCTTGTTTACATGCCTTTTTATTTACTTTTACCTTTTTTTTGTTTGTGTATTTTAGTTTATTGCTCAAATGCAATTTAACTTTGCTTACAATTTGTAAAAACTAAATTCTAGTTACACTTTATAATTCTATTATTTATTGCGCATTTTTAACAATTTTAATTAATTTTGCGGTGTAAATTTAATTATTTTTTAATTTAATTTCAAAATTGGTCTCTATTTAATTTTATTTATTTTGTGTTTACTATTTTTGTTAAATAATTATTTCAGGCTCTTAAAATTTCACTTTAATTTATTATAATTTAAAAATTATTTATGGTTTGAAAAGTGGCACTTTTTATTTGGCTAACACTTACCTAAAAAAGTCCTTGGTTTTCCCAAGACTTTAACCCACTGTGCTGGGACTCTGGAATTTTCTGCAACTTGGCGCGCTCGTCTCCAGTCCCATTGTCAATATGGCAGCTCCATTGGGTCTCCGCCTCCGTCTCCAGTCCTCCGTCTCAGTCTCAGCTTTGAGTCTCTGAAACAGTCTCTCTGGTCCCTGGTCATTCACATTATCGTTGCATGTGATGTGCCGAGAGGTAACCGCGCCGCATGGGTGTGTTCGTTCATCTTTATTTCTTGTGCGTGCAAAAATTCAACAATTGCAGAAATTGAAACTTTTGCCTCTTGCCGTTGTTGCCACACACAGAAACATTGAAAGAAAACTTTCAGACATGAAAATGAAAATCGTAAAAATGAAATAAAATAAAATAAAATGTGCACACCACGTTTGCCTGTTTCTGTTTTCAGTTTTCTGTTTTCTGTTTCTGTTTCTCTGTTTGTGTTTGAGTTGGAGTTTGTGCCCTGCAGACAGACGCTTAATATGCCAATGCACTTTTTTCCGAGGAATGGAGGAGGGCTTTTCCGGATCCCAACACCCACTACCACTACCACCCGCCCACCCAACGTCCTGGCTCACATTTGTGTTTATTTAATCTTTCACCGGCAAAATTGATATGCCCAAGTAATAAACAAACATCGCTGAAAAAAGAAATAGCACAAATTGAAATTTATGTTTCAATATTTGCTTAATGTCTCAAGAAGCGGTTTCTGTTCTGTGCGAGCAGCACAACTCAAATCGATTAAATTTTAAAGGGTGCTAAGTGGTTGCTTTTAGCTTTGAGATGAACTTGAAGTTTATTTTATTTTTTGTGTAATGGGTTTCGCTTTAGTTTAGCTTATTTTTGAATTTATCTAGATTGTGTTTTCCATTAGTTTAATTTATTTATTGTATTGTAAAATGCTGTTTTATTATAATTCAAATTTATTAATTTAAATTTTTATTTTTCTTGCCGTAATAAATTTTAAGAATATTTATTTTTATTTTTCCCCAGCTATACTTGTTGCTTTTATCAGCTCAATAATTAATTTATGTGTTTCCTTCATGGCACTTGACTTAAGCTCTCTTTTGCCATTAATTTCTTGGCTATGCTTCCACATATCAAGCATACGCCATGTGGTGCATTATGCGAAATGTACTTCTTTTCGCTGACTCATTCCGAGCAGCTCTTTCAACGAATTTTTATTTGGTTTTACTTGGTTGCCCTTTTGTTTACTTGTTTATTTATTCTTTATATTTTTGTTGCCCCACTCTGGGCCATAATTTTTTTTGTTTACTTTTTTATGTAATTTGCGCACAATTTGCAGTTCATTGTTTTAAAGATAGAGAAAGAGAAAAAGGGAAAAGGGAACCACCAAAGTGTGCCTCATCAGGACTTGGGTTAACCCACTCTATCAGCAATTTCTTTTTGCTTCGCAGGGAGAAGCGAGCACTTTAACCCATGTTGCCAACGACCCTTTTCCCTGCGCCTTTCTCCTTTCTCCGCGCCTTTCTCCAGGGGCCTTTCTGGCCACAGCTTTATTCCTCGCCTCTTCATTTGTCTGCTGTGGGTTTTTTCAGCCTCAAATGAGTCTGTTTTATATATTTTATAGATAGACATACACATATCTATGTGCTTTTTTATGTAAGCCCATGTGCGTGGGAACAAGGACAAGTTTCGGCTTCTGCGGCAATTTCTCTGCTACTTTCTCAAATAATCATTTCAATGCAATTTTTATATAATTTTCCCTCTACTCTCTCGCTTTGCTAATCCACTGTTGACATGCAATTTGATTCAATTATCATGATTTTGTATGAATGTGTGAGTCTCCTCCCTGAAGTTTTCTTTTCTTTTTTTCTGTCGCCGTTTTTCTTGTGCTTTTTTTTTTTGTTTTTGCTTCTTTCAAGAAGCGTGGGAAATTTAACAAGCTTTTGGTTGAATTTTCCCATTTTTTTTTTTCGCTCGTTTTGTGTGTGTGTGTAACTCATGCAATTATTCAATTTGTGGGCAGCCATTAGGGCGCAAAAACGGGCGGAAAAAAATGTGAGGAAAATCTGTAATTTTCCCTGAGTTCCACTAATTAGTTTCGATTACCCAAGAAATGGATTTGAACTTGATTATTTTCATGTTCGCTGGTCTTCACTGTACCCAATGGATTTGCAACTAAGCGATGCGTGAATACGAAATTAAAATCAAATTTTAATACTTTTTTGTCGTAATTTTCGTGAGCAATTAATCGTTTTACTCTTAACGATTATGCTCTGCAGCTGTCTCGCTCATTATCTGTACATCCATCTCGCTTACGCTTACGCACTCTCTTGTTTGTTTCATTAATTAATCATTGCTGACATCACGCATACGCAACGTGTGCTGCATATGCAACTTTTGTGCGGAGGAAATTGCAAATTGCCAACACAAATATGGAAGAAAAAAAGAAATAATCAAATTAAATACAACGGAAAGGAAAATGGCAAAATAAACTCAAACACAGAAAAATTAAAAAAAAATTCTTTATAATTAATAAAATAAAACTATTTTTGTTAATTGAATAAGAGAAATATTTTTGAAATATTAAAAAAATTAAACATATATCATAGAATGAATTAATGGAGAGCTAAAAATGTGCTTTTCCACAATCTGTGCGTTTTCTTTTTTGCATAGAAAATACCGCAGAAGATTGAAAGCTTTACCCACATTATCCCTCTCGCTCTTTCGTAATTTCCCCTCCTCTCTTTCTGGCCAAAAATTGCTTTGGCGTCGCATAATCGCCGCAGTGTTGCAACAAGAATAACAACGAAAATCCCATTTCCCCAGTAAAAGTAATTTCTATGCAAGGCCAACAACAACAACAATAGCAACCGCATCAAGTGCGAGCGAGATGGAGGGATAGAGTGACAAAACGGCACTTTTGGGCAAGCATATTTATGATGTGCGCGAGTGAGTGAGAGGCAAGAAAAACCTTCGTATGTGTATCAAATAATTTAAAGGGCAAAAAAGCGAAACAAACGACTAAGAAAAAAGCCAAGGTCATTTGGGTCATTAACAAGAATTTATATAATTTAAAAGGAAATTAATAAATTTATTACAATTAGTATTACCTATATTTGTCTATACTAATTTATATTAGATTAAAATATTTATGTATTTTATAATCTTTTGCCACAAATTCAGTTCTTTAAACATCTCATAATAATTTAAACCCCGACTCGATTTCAAATACTTGAGGTCAGACACAAATAGCATAACTTTAACCTGCCAGGACACTTAAGATTGCCGGCTATGTTCGACAAAATCCCGCTATCGCATTTCCTTGCGCCAGTGCAGAAAATAGAAAGGAAAATGTATTCGACCATCAAATGACGCTGCACATTGCAGATTCGTTTTTCCGCAACACACACAGCCACGCAAAATTTAGTATCGCATAAAAATGGCAGATAAATATACACGGAAAACATGACAGGATGAGCACGAAGGAACTGCGAAAGGAGCGAAAGGAGCGAAGGGATAAAAGGAGGACAACAAAGTGAACACTGAATGGACAACGCTCTTGACCACTTTCCAGCACATGTGAGGGCCCCAAAGCAGCTTAACAACTCAAACATCCTTGGGAACGAACCCCATCAACCTACACAACCCATCCGAACCACCCGCAAACCCAATAACTTTGGGCCAGTCAAAGTCGAGGCGTTTGTCGCCGAAACGAATTTGTGTGTCACTCAGCAAATAAGTCGCACACACAACTGCCAACCGGAAGGGGGGTGTTAAGGGGCTGAAACATCCCCCCGTCACCCCTTTTCAGACCTGAAAAGGAGGTGTTGACATTGCCCAACACTAAGCGTTGATGTCCAAACACACAGACTCCAACGTTTTCAATCGAAAATGGCTTGCACAACAAATGGAGTAGAAAAATAAAATGAAATTGAAAAGCAAAGGGTTCAACTTGCTAGATTGTTAAGTGTTTACCTTTTATTTTCATTTCTTCTTTAAGATAGAAAAGTTAAGTAGATAGACAAAAGTGTAATTTGTTTATTATTTTGTTATCTGTTCGATACAGAATGTATTTTTGGTGTAGGACCATTTTTGGCCAAGTTACAGGAAAAAACAAAAAGAAAAATTCCCATTTTTTCCAAAAACCCAGATCCCAATTTTTTACAAAAAATAACGCGTTTTTTTACCGTAACAATGGAAATATTGATCCAAATATGGATTGTCATACCTTTCTGAACTCGTTATTAAATTTCCAATCAATTTGCATTTCAACCTGAAAATTTTTATTTTTTGCCATTTTTTGCAAAAAATTATGATATACCCCCTTACAAAAAAATTGAAAATTGGCTAAAATTTTATTTTTGCTAGATCACCCGGAGAGTGTCATGGATTTATTTCTTGTTTTGTTATCTGTTCAAAACAGTATGTATTTTTGGTGTAGGACCAGTTTTGCCCAAGTTACAGCAAAAATAAGAAATAAAAAAACCAAAAATTTTACCAAAAAATCAGATCCCAATTTTGTACAAAAAATAATTGGTTTTTTGACTGTAAAGTAGGCAATAATATGTTGTGGTTGCTGAAAGTGTTTTTGTGTTTGATGGTGAATAAATTCAAAATTTGAATATTTAAATGAAATTTCGACTTGGTAAACAGGATAAGTCATCCGATAACCGAGCTAAGCCAGCTCTTGGCCTCCTTTTTCTTTTTTGGTATAACTTAAGCACTTGCAATTCTCTAGACAATTATGATGACCACAGAAAGTGCCTTTTGGCCTCCTTATATTTTCCCATATAGAGTCGAAAATTATTCGATTATTTGTTCGAAAGTAAAGGAAGAAGAAACTCAACTCAATCGATTTGAATGGGCAATGTCTCGGTGGAATTTGCCGGCTGAATATTTGCATCTGATATTAAGCATTTATATAGATTTCTGTGTGAATACATTCTCTGTGTGCTGTGAATTCCTCGGAGATAGTCGTTCCATTTCTATATGCTATATGCTGCCTTCCCTCCCCTTCTTTTGGGCTTTCGCTTCGAGTTTCGAGGATATCAAGGATATGTCCGAAGTCAAAAACATTTAGTTGCAGAGCGCTGCAGACCGCAAATTAAATGGAAATAAAATGCATTCCCACTCGGGGGAGGCAAGTAAATAAAAATGTATATAAATAGAGGTGCATTTATTTATATAGAGTGACAGCCAGGCGGAAAACCACCGCCTCCCCTTCCCCCTCTCATTTTCTTTCCATTTTCTTTTTTTGCCGATGTATGTGACACAGATAGAGAGAAGTTTTGAGCAATTCTTTTTAAGCGTTTTTCCTTGTTTGTGTATATTTACCTTTGGGATTTATGAGATTAGTTGCAGACGCACACAGATACAGACACACAAATACAGATACA